TGGATGTGGTGAGTGGATGTGTTGTGTGTGTAGTATGTGTGGTGTGTGTATGGTATATGTGTATGTGGTATGTATGTGTGTGGAGAGGTGTGTGTGTGTGGTGTTTGTGTGGTGTGTGTGGTGTGTGTGGTGTAGGTGAGGATGTGGTGTGTGTATGTGTTGTGTGTGTAGTGTATGTGTGATGTGTGTGGTATATGTGAGGTTGTGTTGTGTGTGGTGTGTATGGTGTATGTGTGTGTGGTATGGGTGGGGAGGTATGCAGTGTATGTGGCATGTGTATGTGGTGTATGTTAGAGTGTACTGTAGTAGTATGTGTGTAGTGTGTGTGGTGTGTGTGATGTGTGTGGTGTATATAGTGTGTGTGGTGTGTGTATGGTATATATGTGTGTGGAAAGGTGTGTGTGTGTGTGTGGTGTTTGTGTGGTATGTGTGGTGTGTGTGGTTATGTGTGGTATATGTGGTGGTGTGTGTGGTGTGTGTGTGGTGTGGTGTGTGTGGTATGGTGTGTGTGTGTGTGTGTATGCTAATCACTATCTTCATTTTCTCTGGACAACTTTGGGGAACAAAAGATCTATAGCCTTTAATGCATTTATTCAACAAATCATTTCCTGCCTACCACGTGGCTCCACACTGTTCCCAGGGGCTGGTGCTCCTCATAGAGGTGACACCTGCTCCAGGCCTTCTAGTCCCAGGCCCTCTTCCCCGGGCACCACGGGAATGTGTTGATCCTCATGACAATCCTGCGGGAAGATATCCGCATCCCCTGTCTCACCAGCGAGGAGCCCAAGGCACAGACAGGTCAAGGACCTTGTCAGCCAGCACACAGCTGGCAAGCAGCAGCCAAGATGCGACCAAGGTATTCTGGTGCCAGAACCATGCTCCTGACGCTCCGCCAGCTGACTCGGCTGCACCTGCTGGGTGAGTGGGTGTGTTGCCCACAGTGGGTAGTAAGGTCTGCAGCAGCCTCAGTTCTTGCCCGCTCAGAAGAAAGAATTCGCTTGAGGGGCATAAGGCAGAAGAAGAGACAGAGGCAAGTTTTGGAGCAGGAGCAGAAGTTCCTTAAAAAGCTTTGGAACAGGCGTGGAAAGAAAGAAAAGTGCACTTGGAAGAGGGCCAAGCAGGTATCTTCAAGGCCAGTGCGGGGTTCGACCTCTAACTTGGGGTTTTATACACTGGCCGCTTCCAGGGCCTTGCCCCCGTTCTCCCTCGGTCCTTCCCTTGGGGTGGGCTGTCCGCATGCGCAGTGGCCTGCTAGTGCTTGGGAGGGGAGCGTGCGCGGCCCGGTGAACTGGAGTTGTGCGCATGCTCATTTGAAGCGTTCTTCCCTTATCAGTCCTGTTCCTACAGGAACGTCATACACCAGTTAAAGGCTGCCATTTTGCCTCTTAGTGCGCATGCTTGAACCCACTTGCCCAATTCCAGAGATCTTATTGGGAAGCTGCAGATCACCAGCCTCGGGGTTTTTTTCCATCTGTCGAGAAACAGACAGTCTTGCTCTGCCACTGCCTACAACCAATTTTTGATTTAGAGACGCAGTTAGCCTCCACCTGCCCATCCCCTGTGGCTGCCTGACATTCCTGGCTGGGAGTCCCTCTGCTGCCCTGCTCCTGCCTGACTTCCTACTCTAACAGATGTCAGTGAGGGACAGATGAACCAGGGAGCAGAGCAATCTGATTCTGGTGGGCTATGTTAGGGTTTGGGTTTTCAGATATATATATATATATATATACACACACACATACACACACACGCACACACACACACACATACTATTTGAGTATTTTGAACTTCTTGGACTTAAGGGTTTCTAGTTTTAATTTGGAAAATTTGGGGTCATTCAAAAATTATTTGGCGCTCCCTATGGGACTCCAATTTCATAAACAGCATGCAGATATTTATATTCACCTGATATTGTTCCTTAGGTCACTGAGGCTCTGTTGTTTTCTTAGATCTTTTATCTGACAATGCTTCATTTTAGATAGATTCTATCAATATGTCTTCAAATTGAGTGATATTTTTTTCTGCAGTACTTAGTCTCCTATGAAGCCCATCCAGTGAACTGTTCAATTCAGATAATGTATTTTATAACTCTAGAAGTTCTATTTGGTTCTTTATATAATCTTTTTTTCTTATTATGTTCAAATTTTTTTTTAATCTTTAAGCATATTTGTAATAGATTTTAAAGTTGTTGCCTGCTAATTCCATTCTCTCTTTCATTTCTGGGTATGTGTGGATTGACTAACTTTTCTCCTGGCTATGGATCACATTTTCAGCTTCTTTATGTCTAGTAATTTTTTATTGGATGCTGGACATTACAGTGGTATATTGCTAAGCATGTGTATTTCATTGGTCCCTTTTGAAGACTGTTGTATTGTGTTTGGTAGGTATTTGAGTAATGTGCTTACCAGATCTATTCTTTTGAGGCTAGTTTTTAAGATTTGCTAGGGAAGGTTCAGGGCCACTTTTTTTCTAGGTCTAATTTAGCTTCTCTCCTAAGGGGTGACCCCTTTAAAATCTTTAGTGAATGTCTCAGGTTTTTCAGTGAGGTCGTTTTACTCTGGCTTGACCAGAATCAGATGTATGATTCCTGGGAAGTTTTTCTTTATGGCTTCCTGATAGTTCTTTCCCACATCTGGTGCAAGTTCATCCTACACATGCATAGTTAGCATTCAACAACAGGCTCATGGCATTCTTATGTAGACTTCTGGGATTCTTTCTTCCATTGCTCCCTACTCTTTTCTCTGAAAATTACAGGCACCCCAACCTCACCAAGTCCCACCTCTGTCTTCTCAACAAAAAAGACCACCATGTTCTGCCCGAGCTTGAGCACAATCTAAAAACTTAGGCAGCTACAGTAATCTTAATGCTCACCTCATTTTTATTCCCTAATCGACGAGAGTCCCTTGCTACCTATTGCCTACTGTCTGAAAACAGCTGTTACCTATGTTTTTTCAAGGTGTTTCATTGTTTACTGTGGAAGGCCAAGTCCAGTACCAGTTATTCGAACATGTCTGGAAGTCAACTTCTCTGCTTTACTCATTTTCCAACAAAATTATATTAGTTTTACATCAGAAAAACACAATAATGATAGAATATATATACATAAAGAACAATCTGTTGTTGCTCTATTTTTCTTAAATTTATCTGAAATAAATGCTTTTTGTTTTAGCCTGGATATTATAATTTAAAAAGAAACTTGTTGTTTTCACAGCCCATACCCCAAATATTAAGTTAGATTCTTTTTTGCTGTAACACAAAGGCCAATCTCTTGACATAGTCTTTTCTCCATAGATTTTCATGTCACCCACATATATTCTGGGGTTCCAAGTAGCAAACACTAGGTATTCAGTAAGTATCAGCTTCCTTTTTAGTGAAAGAAACAATCTTTTGGGGCCTTAGTTTCCTTTGCAAAAATGAAAATTATAATAGCTTCTTTCTAAGTTATGACTCTGGTTTAAATGTTTGTCCCCTCTGAAACTCATGTTGAAACTTGAACCCCAGTGAGGCCATCTTGAGAGGTAAGGCATTTGAAAGGTGATTGGGTCATGAGGGCTCCACCCACATAAACAGATTAATTTGATCGTGCGTTTGTGGATGAAAGGGGTTCATGGATTAATGTCTTATCACAAGAGTGGGTTTGTTATCATTATGAGAGCAGGTCTGTTATGAAAGTCCAGGTATTCTCTTGGGAGCTTTCTCACACAGGATGCCCTGTGCTGCCTCAGGGCTTTGTAGAGTCCCTGCCAGCAAAATGTCTCTATGGATGTGGCCGCTTGACCTTGGACTTCACAACCTTCAGAACTGTGAAGAAATAAATTCCTTTTCTTTATAAATAATCCAGTCTCGGGTATTCAGTTGTAACAACAGGAAATAGACTAAGACAGTTACTATAAAGAGTAAGGTTATTTCTCAGTAGACATATTATAGTCTCGCAAATAGGAGACACATGTAAACAATATGTTTAACAAGAATTTGTGAAACAATTAAAACTTTGGCTTCAGTATCCTGCTGTTGCTTTAAACACTATTCAGTAAAGGTCATCATCTCCTACTCCTGATGAAAACTCAGACAGGCTCGTGAACTCTCTGTTCCCTCCTAGGTAATAGATGGTCCTTCCACAGCTTTAGATCACAACAGTGTCTCCATTCAGAAATGTGAACGCCCCACCTAAGATATACATCAAACTCTGAACATGATTTAATAGCCAGTGTCCTGTCCTCCCCAGTGTCCCTCTGCAGCCCAGCAGCCTACAGAGGATGTTGCATAGATACATGTGGGTGTATATTATCTTTCTTTTCTTTTAAAAAAAAAATCACCAAAATATTACTTTGCTGAGGACTTAACTTAGAAAACCCAAATATTTAAATGGCCAATGATAGCCCTGGGTGTTTTTTGCTTCTGTATGAATTTTAATGCTTACATTTAGGCCTGAAAATCCACAGAAGCATTCATGTGGCGGCGGGGGGTGGGGGGTTGCTCTGTGGTGCTTGAGAAGCACACGAATTTGGGGCTTATTTCCAGACAGTGCCCTGTTCTATAATAGGATCTCTGACCAGATGAACGGAGCTCTGAGAGCAGCAGACAGGCAGGAGCGCTCAGCCATGGGGGGTCTCATCTGTGTTGGAGAAACAGGACCCAGAACCACAGCAGACAGATGGCTGCTGCTGGGAGGAACCTCACAGGCCACAAGACAATCCCTTTGCTCAGGGCAGGGCAGCTGAGCTCACTTCCCCAAGGCCACCCAGGAGAGACCAGGAGAGCCGGGGCAGAGGTCAGCCTTCAGCTACTATGAATAATTTCATTTAAAATACCAAGTGGTCTTCAAAATCCACACCCTTTCTAAGTCAACAAAAATCAAGTGAGATTCACAAGTGGTGTCTGGAGCTGCTTTCTCCACATTCCATGAGGAATTTTTGATATTTGCGAGGCTTCCTTCCAGGGAGACAAAAGTGAATTAAGTATTGTCCCAGCTTTTAAGGAACTCATCATGATGAGATAAGATTTAAGAGAAACTGACTAAAATGCAATCTTAATTCCAGAAAGTTCATGAACAATAATAGGATGAAGAAGACAAAATTATTAACAACGAACGTAAGAAAGATGTATGCGCAGTGTTCCCCGGAAACAGGTCAGCCTGCGGCGTCACGGAGCATGCGCCTGACTCTCGGTTTATCTTACTTGGAACAAGGTCCACAGACAAGGACAGCTGTGTCCTCCTTCTCCCGGTCCCATGAGAGGGCGTCTCCTATTTTTAGTTCCAGAGCCTACTTCTTAAGCCATCCATAAAAGGAGCTAGGGAAGTATGTCTGTGATTGATAAGGGACTGAAGTCCGTGTTTACAGAGGGTTTTTCCCACCTAAGGAAGAGTTATGAGGGCTCTGCTGCTCTCTTCCTGTAGCTGGGGAAGGACTGAGAGCAGAGGGCCTGTGTGGACCTAAGGATCAGCACTTGAGCTGGCATGGAAACAGGTAGGTCGTTTTGTTTTGTTTTTGAACTGAGTCTTGCTCTGTCTCCCAGGCTGGAGTGTAATGCTGGGATCTCAGCTCACTGCAACCTCCACCTCCCAGGTTCAAGTGATTCCCCTGCCTCAGCTTCCCGAGTAGCTAGGATTACAAGCAACCACCACCACGCCCCACTAGTTTATATATTTTTAGTAGAGATGGGGTTTCACCATGTTGGCAAGGCTGGTCTCGAACTCCTGTCCTCAGGTAATCAACCCACCTTGGACTCCCAAAGTGCTGGGGTTACAGGTGTGAGCCCCTGCGCCTGGCAGAAACAAGCAGTTTTTAATGCAACATTTTCCCCTAAATTTTACTGTCATGTCTTTATCGATAATGTCTTCACATATTTCAAACTTCAAAGAATGCAAAGAACATATTCGTAAAAATCCCCATCCATCTAGTTCCCCTCCCAGGAGACAAGAATATTGTGTCTCTTGTGCATCCGTGATAGAAGAATCACTGATAAAAGAATCTCCGCGACAAAAGAAACTTCTCACAGGTAAGGAGTTGTTCGTGCGTGGAACGGGCCGAGGCGGTGGTAACGCGGACTTCATTGCTGAGGGGTTAAGGCCCACTTGCAGGGCTGACGTTGAGGGCATCAGATGAAAGCACACAGCCGTACCTCGACGTCCCTCCAGCCCTGAGATGCCACGGCGTGATTCCCTTCCCCTGCTGTGAATGGTGAGCGGCGGAAACTCAGAGCCACGTGGCGCTGCTCTCCCGAACCCCCGCACCTCTTTCACCCCTAACCCACATGGTCGGTGCAGGCAGGGGCAGTGGCGTGCCACCAGCAGAGGCTCCTCTCCCGCTCAGCACAGCTTTGCTTCCTGGAAGCTCTCTGGTGCTCTGCACAGTGACCCTTGTCCCCTCCGCAGTTTCACCGCAGCTCTTCACCCAGCGTCTCTGCAGCGGCCCCACCTCCCTGTTCTCCTGTGGTCTCCGCAGAGTTTCTGCTCCTCCCTTTCTGTTCCTCAGACCCTTGGTCTTGTCACATGCAGCGGACTTTCTGTATCCTCCCGACCTGGCTTCCTGAACCCCAGCAGGCAGCGTCCTCACATTGTCTCTGGGTGATCCATCTGGCAGGTCTCTGAAATTCCACCGGAGGTGGAAGTCCAGAAATCAAGGATATCGACCCAGGAGATGCTGTGATTGGCCAGCCCAGCTTGTTCAGATCAGAATCAGCCTTTACAACACTATTGAAAATGGCCTCATAAACTAATAAAACCACAGTCTCTTACTAAGAGAGGTTCAGAAGCTATTTTCCATATGGTTTCATTTGAAATTAAAATTTTTAGCACCAACATTTCTACACTGTGGTCAGCAATTAAACAGTTCACAAAAGACAGCACAGCCCTCGCCTCTGTCAGCCGGAGGCTGCCTCACCTTCTCCCCGTCCAGCCCACCACATGCCCCTGTGAGGATCCAGCCTGGTCCTCAGAGTGATAGGCACACAGACCCAAGGGCTCTTCAATGCAACTCCACGGAGGTGGTGCTGAGGTTGGCTCTTTTGCAGAGACGGAGACCCCATGGCACTGAGGTGGGTGTTGTCGTCTTAGCCGAGCAGGCCTCGAGCAGCAGGGCCAGGATCTCATGTCCCCACAGCGTCCTGCCACTGCTTCAGACTCCCGGTGAGTGAGCGTTCAGGGCACTGGCCCATCGGTGGTCACAGCCCAGCTATTTCAAAGGAGGACAGACTATAGGTGTCTGCATAGGGTACAAATTGCAGATCAATATAAACGCCAACAAGATCAGGGTCTTAGAAGAGAAGATTCTGACATCAGACTTCCTGGTTTGGATCTGACTCTGCCAGCTGTGCAAGCCACCGCCACTTCCTTCCTCCCTCTATGCCTCAGTTTCCTCAGCCATCGCATGGGGTGAACATTACCTGCCCCGCAGTGTGGTGAGTACCCAGCGAGGCAGTGTGTGTTTTGCCTGGGGCAGTGCCTGGCACGCGGTCCGAGTTCCATGATGTCTGCTGTGGTTCCTGCCGACCTCGCTTGCTCATGTGCTTTGGGTCCATTGGGCTTCTATTTTCTGGGCCCAGAAGGAGGAACTTACTACAACCACAGACACGCAGGCCGGGGAGAGCCAGGCCAGCCCTGCGTGGACCCAGCCATTCCAATCGGCTTGTCATGGTAAAGTTTCTGACGGAGGTGAACAGTTGAAATTAGTTCATTTAATTTAAGTTCATCCATAAACAGCATGAATAATGAATTAAGGCTCTGGAGAAGTTGAAATATAAGGCAGTAGCAGAAAAATGCAATTCAACCCAGAAACCAACCAGCTAATCACCTGATGGAAAAAACCCACATGAAGAGTCCACAGGGGGAAGGCATCGAGGCAGCAGCAGGATTTCCAGGGCTGTGAAGGACGTGTGGAAACGAGGGGAGGTCTTGTGTGCTCTGAGCGTCATCGTGGGCAGAGCCTGCAAGATCGTGACTGTGGATGGTGGCCACTGCCACCCTATCACTGCATGGGCACAATCTCACATTCACTCATTCCCTCATTCACTCATTCCCTCATTCACACATTCAGTCATTCATGGATTCCTTCATTCACACATCCACTCATTCGCACGTTCATTCATTTCCTCATTCATGCATTCACTCATTCTGTCCGCAGCTCTTCATCCCATCCCTGCTGGGCGCCAGGCCTCATGCCAAGACTGCCTCTCCCTCGCGGAGCTTCAGTGTCAAACTCCAGTCCACGTGGCTGCTCCAGGTCACAGCAAACAACTCCTGTTATGCTTGAAGGAATCTTAAACATGCAATTTAAGCAGAAACTTGATGTATTTATTTCTGTGGTACCTGAGTGGGTAGAGTAGAAAGGAGAACTTCTACTAGAATTTTCTAGAAAGAGAATGATCTTAAGTTTGACAAAACACTTAAACAGACCCTTAGTTACACAGAAGAAAAGTGTTAGGCTTGGAAAAGAGAGGTTTAGATAATAAAAAGAGAAATATGTATATACGTGTGTGTGTGTGTGTGTGTGTGTGTGTGTGATTTAGATGAGCAATTTATATATACAGGTCTATGTGATGTATATGCATCTGTCTGTGTGTGGATGGTGGATGGAAGAGAGAGAAATGTCAGTAGGAACCCCCAGGATGGCGTGCCCATGTTAAAGGTACTCGCAGGGCAGGGACAGTGCCGGCCACAGCAGTGATGTGCGCTCTCCAGCTGCTAGCCTTTCCACATCCTTGCTTCACTTCTCCCTTGTCTCTGGCAGAGCCTGCTGTGCACAGCCGTGTGCACTGGTGGTTCCAGGCACGATGGTGTGGTGGGGGCTGTCCATGCTGGGTGCTCCACAGTGTGGGGTGGTTCTGGGCGGGATGGTGTGGTGGGGGCTGTCCATGCTGGGTGCTCCACAGTGTGGGGTGGTTCTGGGTGGGATGGTGTGATGAGGGCTGCCCATGCTGGGTGCTCCACGGTGTGGGGCGAGGACAGCTACCCAGAGAGACAGCCCCCACCCCTGCAGGGAGGGCGGAGGGAAAATGCACCCAAAGGACGCAGGGCTGCATGTGCCGAGCTGGGGAGGGAGGATCGGGCACAGAAACCCTGGGGAGGGCACTGCACAGCTGTGGCCTCACCAGGGACTTGGTTCTCTGTGAGACACTCAAAGAAGAGGCAGCATGGAAGGACGGCCTGAGCTGGGTGCAGAATCATGTACGTGCCCTCTGCACACAGTTTCAACTAGTGAGTGCCCCTGAGGTAGAGTCGTCCCAGCGGGCAAGCTCTGCACCCTCAGGTCTCCATGCCCTTCAATCTCTTCTCATCCAAGGTCAACTGAGGCACAGAACCCCCCGCCAGAGACAGTGTGCAGCATAGCAGGTGCTCAGCAGGGTGGGGCAGACGGCGGATCTGCTTGGCTGAAATGCAGCAGACGTGTGGGCACTTATGCCGGGCCAGGCGACAGGGAGCCTGTTTCTATGCCTGCAGAGCCAGCTGGATTAGTCTGTTTTCATGCTGCAGATAAAGACATACCCGAGACTGGGAAGAAAAAAAGCTTTAATGGACTTACAGTTCCACATGGATGGGGAGGCCTCACAATCATGGCAGAAGGCAGCGAGGCGCAAGTCGCGTCTTACAGGGATGGCAGCCGGCAATGAGAGTTTGCGCAGGAGAACTCCTCTTTATAAAAACAACAGATCTCATGAATCTTATTCACCACCATGAGAACAGCATAAGAAAGACCAGCCCCTCATCATTCAATTACCTCCCACTGGATCCCTCCCACGACACGTGGGAATTCTGGGAATTACAATGCAAGATGAGATTTGGGTGGAGACACAGCCAAACCATATCACCAGCCAAGAGGGTTGGAGGATAAGGGGAGGGGTCCTAGACTGTGCCCAGCCAGTTCTCAAGCAGGCCAAGACCAGCAGGACCACCCCCTGCCCTCATCTGGCTGCAGGTGCACAGCAGCCCAGCTGTGGCTGGAGGTCCTGGTGTCTGGGGATTCCTGGGGGTGGTCAGTAATTCCATGAGTTCCCAGCTGAGGCTCCATGCCTGCCTTCTGCTGCTTGTCTCGCCTGCCAAGGAGACCCAGCTACTCACTCTGGTCCAGGAGCTGCCAGCACACATGGCCATGGCGCCCTGGAAACCTGCTCATGCCGTGCTGTGCCGGGAGGCACACCCTGAGCAGGAAGCGAAAGCTGCCCATTAACCCTTGGTCATGTTGATAAATACTGAAATTGATGGGTTGAAATGTTGAAATGATACTCTGGATGTGGTAGGTTAAATAAAATACATTATTGAAATGAGCTGTATCTCTTTCCCTTTACTTTTTTAAGGTGGCTCCTGGACGTGTCAACTCACGAAAGCATCACATTTCTGTGGAGCAGCGCTGCTGCCAGCTGCGTCTCATCAGTCTCTGACCTCCCACACCCTCCTAGCTCAGGGTGAGCACCGAAGGGCTGAAGGAAGCCTCATCCGATGGACAGGAGCCTGGTCTGGAGTTCATCAGGAAGGAAGGAAGTCTGGTCCTCCCTACCTCTCCCCATGGTCAGCAGCCTCTGAGCAGGAGTGGGCGGGACCTGGCCAGCAGCCCCATCACTTTAATCCGTGAAACCTGACCTTCCCTGTGCTCCTGGGCTCCCAGGCGGCTGTGCGGCCACCCGACCTCCCCAGCTCCTCCTGAGTGGGTGCGTGGCCAGCCCTTGCCAGCGAGGACACGGCTTTCTAATGGCTGGAAAGTGCAGCCATGACAAGGGAGCGGCCAGCCAGAAGGGAGCGATGACCACCCGGCTGGCCCTGGAATTGCTGGAGCCACCAGAAAGGCCACCCACAAAGCAAGCTCCAAGGAAACACCACCGGAGGGGGGTCTCAACCAGAAACGGGATTGCGAAAGGGTCTGGAGGGAAGAGATAACAGGGTTGAGAAGGAGCTGCTGGTCCTGGCATGAGCCCGTGTGGCGGCCACAGGAGGCCACATGCCTGGGTTAGCCTCAGCATGCCACCACCACGACCTCTTTACTCCATCTGCAATCAAACAGGTCCCACCTAAGACAGCTGCTCTACAAATCTGGAGGCCGGGGCAGGGAGAAGGCAGATAAACCAATAAAAAACACATTTTTTTCCTCATAGAAAATGTGTCCAAGGTCACAGGACAAAAGTTGCTCATAGCTTTCAATTCACTCCAGGCTGCCCCTCAAAGCCAAAATGGACAAAGAGGAATAAAATTCCCCTTCCTGGTCCTTCCCTGGTCTGCTGGGCCCCACTCCCCATCAGCTAGGGGAGCCGACCGTGTGCCGAGAGCAGCTGGCCCTGGTGGCTCCCTCTGCCCAGATGCCAGTGCCGCAGGAATGCAGCCCCTCAGCAGGAGCAAGTATGGGGCCATGGGCATGGACGAGGGCCAGCCGAGGGGAGATCAGCGTGGGCTGGGTCTGTCTTCAGTTTCGGGCTGAGGCCGTCTACGTGGAGGGATGGGGCTTTGTATGTGGAGGGCTGAGGCCATCTATGTGGAGGACTGAGGCCGTCTACGTGGAGGGCTGGGGCCGTCTACCTGGAGGGCTGGGGCCGTGTACGTGGAGGACTGAGGCCGTCTACCTGGAGGGCTGGGGCCGTCTACCTGGAGGACTGGGGCCGCCTATGTGGAGGACTGAGGCCGTCTACCTGGAGGGCTGGGGCCGTCTACGTGGAGGGCTGGGGCCATCTACCTGGAGGGCTGGGGCCGTGTATGTGGAGGGCTGGGGCTGTGTATGTGGAGGACTGAGGCCGTCTACGTGGAGGGCTGGGGCCATCTACCTGGAGGGCTGGGGCCGTCTATGTGGAGGGCCGGGGCGCCTGCTGCCGCCTGCACGTGCAAGCTCTTTCGCTTCAGCAGCCCAGAGGATGGAGCCCCATGGCCTTTGGGAGACCCTGTTAGAGGTCTCATGGACAGAGAGAGGAGGACAGCCCAGGCTGAACAGCCTGACCCAGACACAGGTCCGTCACCAGCCCGTAGGGGACAGGATGGAAGTCAGTCAGTGGGGCAGCTGACCAGACAGAGCTGGTGGAGGCTGCCGCGTGGTCCCTAGGAGGGGCAAGAGGGCTGAGCCGGGCGCGTCCAGCCAGATCCGTGGTGGGACACAGCTGTCCCAGGAAGGGCTGAGGCCTGTGGCCAGCAGCTCTCTGCAGCCCAGGCCGTGGCTGGAGAGACTGTCGTGGATGGATGGCTGGAGGCCAACAGTCTTCCCTGAAGCCAGGAGAACGAGCCGTTATTCCTGACCTCAGCACACAGGGTTTCATTGTTCTCACAAGAAATCACTGTTTGCGGAATCACATGCCCAAATTCTAATCCTCCAAGGAGGTTCAGGGCACCCGGGAAGCCATGGGGATGCCCTGGCAGCCGAGGGCTCGAGGGTCAAGAGCGTGAGCCCGGGTGGGTAACAGCGAGACACAGCTGCACACGGTGGGAGAGTGCCGAGGTCCAGCCGAGGTCCTGCCAGGCTGTGCAAGAGGAGATGCAGGAGCACTGACCCAAGAGAGCATTCTAAACCAGACGACAGGCCGCCAAACCCGAGCAGCAGGCTCTCCTGATGAGGGGCCGGATGCTAGGTATCTTCGGCTCTGCAGGCCTCGGCGTCTCCGTGACCACCGCCCAGCTTGCTGTTGTAAAGTGAAAGCAGCCGGGACACACAGAGGATGAGCATGGCTGCCACCGTGAACCTTCATTTACAGAAGCAGGCTGGATTCAGCACGGGCAGAAGTGTGCCATCATGCCCTAGAGCAGCGCAGGGGACAGCGGTTTATGGACTCTGGTTAACGGCCGTATTCTCTCTCAGTGGCCTGTCTTTGGGCCAGACCGGACTTACTGTTTGTTTGTTTGAGATGGAGTCTCTCTCTGTCACCTAGGCTGGAGTGCAGTGGCAAAATCTCAGCTCACTGCAGCCTCCACCTCCCAGGTTCAAGTAATTCTCCTGCCTCAGCCTCCCAAGTAGCTGGGATTACAGGTGCCCACCACCATGCCTGGCTAATTTTTGTATTTTTAGTTTCACCATGTTGGTCAGGTTGGCCTCGAACTCTTGAGTTCAGGTGATCCTCCCACCTTGGCCTCCCAAAGTGCTGAAATTACAGGTGTGAGCCACCGAGCCCAGCCCAGATTTATTTTGAATGAGGGTTGTCAGATGTCAGTGTTTAGCTGAGCTCTGCCTCCTTACCATTGCTTGTGCGAACACACACACACACAAACACACACACACACAGAATCCCACCAAGGGTTCACTACCGTCCTTACTCAAGTATCTTTGGCCCCAGCCATGCTGAGTCTTGTGGAGACGTTACCTGCCATACCGTTTTGGGCATAGGAGACATACAGGAGATGTAGTGGGAACTCCCCCGCGAGGGCCACTGCGCTGCCAGTCCCAGCTCCCTGAAGGAGTAAAGGAAATGGTGAGTGCGAAGCTGGAGCTGGGATTGAGTCCTTGGTGCGGAGAGGAACAGAGCTCTGCGGCCGCCGTGTCCTTTGCGTGCGCGTGGCCCAGGCGCCCAGGGTGCAAGGGTTGAAGGTAAAAACTGATGGGTTGGAGTGTTGCAATAATAGTTTGGATGTATTAGGGGTGAAATAAAACGCATCATCGAAATGAATTTGATGTGCTTCCTTGTACTTTCCTAAGGTGGCTTCTGAAGAACATGAACTCACAGCACCGCCTTTCTCTCGGGGAGCCACCGGCCACGGGTGTGGCCTCTTTGGGAAGGGACTCGTGGCCTAGGCTGACTTGGGCCTTCAGTGATGGCGTTGCACTGGGCAGGGTCCCGGAAGGGCCGGCTCGTCAGAAGAGGCTCCAGGCTGCTGAGCAGCAACAGCAGACAGCTCGCCTCCAGCGGAGTGAAGTGGACTTGGATGCTCACTGGCCGTCTGGGAGCCAGCGTCCCCGTGTTGTGAAGTGGACTTGGTTGCTCACTGGCC